GGCTCCATGCCCCATGGATATGGTTTGGGGGTGTCTATGCCCCATGGATGTGGGTCTGGGGGCTCCATGCCCCATGGATGTGGGTCTTGGGGTTTTGTGCCCCATGGATGTGGGTGTGGGGGCTCCGTGCCCCATGGATGTGGGTCTTGGGGTTTTGTGCCCCATGGATGTGGGTGTGGGGGCTCCGTGCCCCATGGATGTGGGTCTTGGGGTTTTGTGCCCCATGGATGTGGGTGTGGGGGCTCCGTGCCCCATGGATGTGGGTCTTGGGGTTTTGTGCCCCATGGATGTGGGTGTGGGGGCTCCGTGCCCCATGGATGTGGGTCTTGGGGTTTTGTGCCCCATGGATGTGGGTGTGGGGGCTCCGTGCCCCATGGATGTGGGTCTTGGGGTTTTGTGCCCCATGGATGTGGGTGTGGGGGCTCCGTGCCCCATGGATGTGGGTCTTGGGGTTTTGTGCCCCATGGATGTGGGTGTGGGGGCTCCGTGCCCCATGGATGTGGGTCTTGGGGTTTTGTGCCCCATGGATGTGGGTGTGGGGGCTCCGTGCCCCATGGATGTGGGTCTTGGGGTTTTGTGCCCCATGGATGTGGGTGTGGGGGCTCCGTGCCCCATGGATGTGGGTCTTGGGGTTTTGTGCCCCATGGATGTGGGTGTGGGGGCTCCGTGCCCCATGGATGTGGGTCTTGGGGTTTTGTGCCCCATGGATGTGGGTGTGGGGGCTCCGTGCCCCATGGATGTGGGTCTTGGGGTTTTGTGCCCCATGGATGTGGGTGTGGGGGCTCCGTGCCCCATGGATGTGGGTCTTGGGGTTTTGTGCCCCATGGATGTGGGTGTGGGGGCTCCGTGCCCCATGGATGTGGGTCTTGGGGTTTTGTGCCCCATGGATGTGGGTGTGGGGGCTCCGTGCCCCATGGATGTGGGTCTTGGGGTTTTGTGCCCCATGGATGTGGGTGTGTCAGCCCCACGGCAGGGTCAGCCCCACAGCGGGTCGGGCCCCCCATGGGGACACGTGGGGCTGGGGAGAGCTGTAATTTATTGGAGAGTAATATATTTGGAGGGGGGTCAACCCCCACGTCCCGGCGTTGGGGTCAACTGCCCGTCTTCACCTCAACCACTGTGTCCCAGTGTTGGGGGTCAACCCCCACCATGGCGGTGGGGTCATGTCCTGGTGTTGGGGTCAACCTCCGTGTCATGGAGTTGGGGTCAACCATCACATCTCGGTGTTGGGGTCAACCATCACATCCTGGGTTTGGGGTCAACCATCACATCTCGGTGTTGGGGTCA